GAGGGATGATCTATTCGACGTATCCTACGATCCTATAAGCGAGACCATTTACGGTTACTCAGAGCAGCAACAACCACTACTACTCGAGGTGATCTGCAACGGGCGTCGTCTCTAGGCACTGGTGGACAGCGGTGCGTCTCACTTGGTGTGCGACCACGGGACGTTGGAGAAAATTGGAGAATCTTCGGAGGAGACCAAGTTCACGGCAACGATGGTGGACGGTACGAAACTTCCCATCCACAGCGAAGCGTCACTGCAGCTGCACATAGGGGCGCTGAGGTGGAAGCCGACGTTGCCGATCACGAACATCAAGGGTTTAGACTTCATCTTGGGGCGAGATTTCCTGAAGCGGTTCAACCCCGAGATCGACTGGATCAACAGGAAGGCGTGCATCTACAATAACGGGAAACGAGTGGAGCTGCGAAGCTGGACAGATACAGGGAGGGTTCCTGAAGCGACACTGGCACGGTTCGAACGGACGGTGAACGAGAGCAACATGGGTTACTTCGCACTGGTCATGGCAGTAGCAGAGGAGGAGAAGCCAAACGCAAAGCTACCTGCAGCAGTGAAGGAGGTGTTGGAGCAGTACAAAGACATCATGCCAGACGACCTACCTACAGGAGTACCTCCAGCACGCACCCACGAGCACGAGATCGTGGAGGAACCAGGTGCAAAACCCGTCTCACGTGCACCATACCGATTGAGTCCGACCGAACTAACAGACATGAAGAAGCAAATAGAGTATCTATTGGACAGACAACTAATCCGCCCATCCACCTCTCCCTACGGTGCACCAGTTCTCTTCACTCCAAAACCAGACGGCAGTTTACGGATGTGCATTGACTACCGCGCACTGAACAAACAGACAGTCAAGAACAAATACCCCATACCGTGCAAAGACGACCTACTGGACCAACTGCGTGGTGCAACAGTCTTTTCGAAGCTGGACCTACGGTCGGGTTACTGGCAGATCAAGATGGCAGACAACTCGATCCACAAGACGGCGTTCCGTACCAGATACGGCTCCTACGAATACTTGGTGATGCCGTTCGGACTCTGCAACGCACCAGCGACGTTCCAGGCGGAAATGAACCATATCCTGCGGCCCCTGCTGAACGAGTGCGTAGTAGTGTACCTGGACGATATCCTCATCTACTCCAAGAACATGAAGGAGCACGTGGAGCATCTACGGAAGGTGTTCGAGATCCTGCGGAAGAACAAATTCTACGTGAAGCTGTCGAAGAGCGACTTCGCCCTGAAGAAGGTGCAGTTTCTCGGGCACATGGTAAGTGCCGAGGGCGTACACGTGGACCCGCGGAAAATCGAAGCCGTCAAGAAGTGGAAAGTTCCGGAGAACGTGAAGGAGTTGCAGCAGTTCCTAGGCTTCGCCAACTACTACAACAGGTTCGTGCCGCAGTATGCTAAGATAGCAGCGCCACTGACCGACCTACTGAAAAAGGATACGCCCCTCATCAGCAAGCCATAGAGCAGCTACAGACAGCATTGACTACAGCGCCAGTACTCATCCTACCAGATCCAGACAACTACTACGTGGTGGAAGCAGACGCTAGTGAGCAAGCAGTCGGGGCAGTACTGATGCAGGATCACGGACGCGGTTTGTAGCCCATCGCCTACCTCAGTAAGAAGCTACACGGAGGAGAACTGAACTACCCCATCCATGACAAGGAAGCCTTAGCGATAGTCATAGCCTTCAAGGCGTGGAGGTGTTACCTAGAGGGAGCCAAGACCACAGTCTATACTGACCACTGCAGTCTCAAATACCTGAAGTCACAGCCAACGCTCTCACGAGGACAGGTGCGGTGGGTGGACTTCTTGGAAACTCACTTCCACTACGACATCGTCTACAAGCCCGGGCTACACAACAAGGCAGACGCGTTGAGCCGCCCCGGACATGTAGCAGGCATCCAGCTCGACGGGATGAACCCTCTGCTCAAGGGTCTATTCCAACATGGATACTCCGTGGACGCAGAGATCGCTACACCACAGACTAAGAAGCTGTTACAGTGGGAGAAAGACTTAGCTGCAAGGAAGGGTTCAGGAAAGATTTGGGTACCGAATTACGCCCCGCTACGGCAGATCCTATTGGAGGAGTTTCACGACGTACCATACGCGGGACATTTCGGGAGCAACAAGACGTTAGCAGGGATAGCGAAGTATTACTACTGGTCCGGGATGGCAGCAGACGTGCAGCAGTTCGTCACCTCGTGCGACACGTGCCAGCGGATGAAGAGCAGCAAGCAGAAAAAAGCAGGGTTACTTCAGCCTCTACCCGTAACGGAGCAGCCATGGCAAGTCGTTAGCCTTGACTTCATCACGGGACTTCCTTCGACCTCACGAGGGCATGATGCCATACTCGTGGTGATCGACAAGTTCTCTAAAATGGGTCACTTCATATCGACCAACGCCACAGCTACAGCTGAAGCAACTGCTCGCCTCTTCTTCGACCGCATCATCACCATCCACGGCATCCCCGCTACACTCATCTCAGACAGAGACCCCAAATTCACCAGTAAATTCTGGAAGGAGCTCATGGGACTGTTGGGGACAAAACTTGCAATGTCTTCAGCATACCACCACTAGACTGACGGACAGACAGAGCGACTCAATCAGGTGGTTGAACAGTTACTGCGCACAGCTTGCAAGGACGACGTCAGCCACTGGGACACACAGTTACCGACCCTAGAGTTCGCTTACAACGCATCACATGCGGCCACAGGGAAAACTCCTTTCTTCCTGTGTTTTGGACGGGAACCACTTACACCACAGTAGCCAAGCACACCGGCACACGTCCAAGCCGCACATGACTTTGTCACCACCATGCAGCAGCTATGGGAGAAGACGCAGCGACGTCTTACCACGATGCAGACCTCCCAGAAGCAGTATGCCGATCGCCAGCGACGTGATCACTCAGTAGCAGTCGGAGATCAGGTGCTTCTTGACACGCGCAACTTGAACCTGTCTCACCTCCCATCCAAACTCCGGCCTCGCTTCTGTGGTCCTTTTCTCGTTGAGGCACAGGTGACACCAGTAATATTCCGCTTGCGCTTACCTACTACATGGAAGCTTCACAATGCTTTCCATGCTCAGCTACTGAAGCCCTACAAGGACCCCAACCAACAGTTCCAGGGACGGCAGCTACCGCCACCACCACCTGTTCTCATCCAGGATGAACCTGAGTATGAAGTGGAGCGCGTCCTCTCTCATTGGCGCCGCGGCGGCAAGACCCTCGAGTTCCTGATACGCTGGAAGGGATATGACCCCACTGAGGACAGCTGGGTTGCAGAAGCTGATATGGGCAACGCACGCCGTGCTCTCAATGACTATCTTGTCAAGCAGGGTGTATCTCACGCCACCCAGCTTTGAGGGGGGGACGTGTGAGAGTACGACAGCTTATGTCAGCTATGCTTGCTTGCCTTTACTTTATTATGCTTTTTCTAGCATAGGATAATTATATGCATGCATGAATTGCTTGATTTCCTAGGCTAGGTGCTTTCCTATATTTTATTATAGTTATAGCACCGAGTTAGGTTGCGTGCACCGAATTCTGGCTTTTCGGTTGACACCGAATCGCCTTCTACCGAATTCGGGAAGGATCTGTTCGGGACACTTCGCGACCCTCAGAACCTTCGCGTAACACCCGGTTACTGGGCCTTGTGTTGAGCCTATATATAGCCTCGTGTTGTACCCAGGTGAATCAATCAATTCACATTCTCTTTTCTGAGCTCGATCCTAGATCCTCACAAAGTTGGAGAAGCAGCAGCCACAGCTGGAGGAGCCGCAGCTGCCGCTGCAGGAGTAGCAAGAGTAGCAGTGGCAGCCGCCGTAGCAGGAGCAGCAGCAGCAGCAGCCGCCGCAGCAGGAGTAGCAGCCGCCGCCGCAGCAGCAGCAGCAGCAACAGCCGCCACCTCCGCCTCCTGTCTCTGGCCTTCGAGCCCTCGGTCTCCCCTCTCCCTCTCCTCCTGTCTACGGTCCCACGTTTCCTCCTCCTGACCCCGCCCCAGCTGTTTTCCCCCGTTCTCAGCTCCCTTTGTCCCCTCCTCTTTCTCACGCTCGGAATTATCGCTCTCCTCGTGCTCGTTCCTCGTCCCCTATCCCCTATCCTCTGTCTCCTCGACCTTCGTACTGTCCTGTTCCGTCCTAGTCCGCCTCGTTCGTCGCCGTCTGTGCTTCCTTCTCCTCCTGAGTCAGCCCTAACTGCTTCCCTCTCTACTCCTGTCACTGACTACTACCCCGCGTTCCGTCCTGTTCTCTCTCGTGTTCTCGCCTCTCTTGTTATCGACCCCCGTATTTCTCTGTCCTCTGTCTCCGCTCTTGCTGCCTCACTCACTGAGTTTGCCTCTAATCACCACCTTGACTACACCACTACTCTTGTGACTGCTCCTCCTATCAGTCCTTTGGCCGTCGGGGGTGAGTCTGCCCTTGGGTGTGACGCCCTAGAGGACAGACAGTTTAAGCTAGAGTTCCTGGCAGCCACTTCCCCTCATCTCTGTGCCATGCTGCTCGCTCCTGAGGGAGACCCTGACGCCCTTGACATACCGACTCCTCGCACTTACGCTGAGGCAGTGTTAGGGCCTTGGGCCTCTCAGTGGAGAGCTGCCATGGACACAGAGATGCCCCCCCCATTGGGGCGAACGTAGCCAATGGCATGTACATTTTCAGGGTGAAGCGGCCACCGATATCTCCTCCAGTCTTGAAGGCACGCTTTGTGGCTAGAGGTTTCTGTCAACGTGATGCAGTAGACTTCTTTCAGACCTTCGCGCCTACCCCAAAGATGACCACTCTTCGGGTGTTACTACACGTAGCAGCATAGAGAGACTACGAGCTACACTCTCTCTGTGAAATAACGAGGAATGATTGAACTAGGAAAATGTGTGATACAAATATGAAACCCTAGAAACCTGTACCCCTTAGTGTCTACCCCACTAGAGCCTACAAACTCTATGTCATATATATCTGACAGAAACTAACCATGACATTCTATGTTCCGGTTCGTTTTCCGTATCTCAGCCATCCGGCACCAGATCGACATCGGCGCGCTTCCATTCGACCGAGCCGCGCTCTACCTGCTGGTTACCAGCGGCGATGTCGCAGTAACCATCAACGACGAGACCTTCTGCGAAGACTACTGCAGCAAGAGGTCGACACTTGAATTGCACGGAGCCGATGGGTCCTTCGCGGAAGCCAAGTTCATCCACGCGAGTGACGTCGCTGCGCGCTGCCCCGACCGCTGCACCTTCCGCGGCCCCCGGAAAACGTAAGTACTCTGCGCTCTTCCCCTTAGGGAGACTTATCCCCGCCCTCTCCCCACTCGCCCCCGCCTCGCCTTTCCCCTTCCACCTCATCTGTTGTCCCCATGTGCTCAACTTCTCCTTCATTCCATTCGATAATGTCAGACTGCCCTACGCTTGTTCTAACCGTCCCTTGCCCCGCTCCCCCGTTTCTGTCACCTGCAGTGAACCCAATCCTCTTCGACATCTGCTTCGCCACCTTGGCTCGTCAATAACCGAGGCTCTTCCTGGACCTGCTGCCGTGCCCATTACCGCATCCCAGTTTCTTGAACGTGCGACCTTTCTTCCAGCCACAGTTTCTGAGCCATCAGCTTCTGATTCGCCAGTGGAGCACGAGGAGGGGAACTCCTCTGCTGACGCCACTACAACCGCCAAGACGTGTGCCACCTTTCCCACAGAGACCTTCATTCATGCGATCACGTTTGGAAGCAACTCCTCTGACGTTCTATCAGTTGCACAGACGGGCGACATGGCAACGTGCGCTGCCACTTCTGTGGGAGCCATGGTCGTGCCTCCAACAGTTGCTGGCCGGGCCAAGTAGAAAGGAAGACACAGGGAGCACTCTGTAACGGCATTACAGGTGTTTCACAGCACACCACCTCTCTTCTCTGTAAATGCTTGAGGAGGTGAAGCGTTTAGCCTGCATACTGTATGCGTTGAGGTGTGGTGGTTTGGGGCTGAAGTTCTTTGCCTCAATACCAACCAGCCGTTGAGTTGTTTAGTTCTTAGAACGTCTTGTCTTGCTCCTTTAATAAGGAAGGAGGTTTTAGCCCCAAGCAATGTTGTGGTTTTGGTTGCAATCGTTGTCCATTTACTGTAACCTCCCTGGATAACACCATGTGTGTTGTCTTGCTTTTGTTGCTTTTTGTCACCTGTTGTAGAAAACCAAGTTTTATTAGCACAAGTCATTCCCTGAAACTAGGGTGACAGAGTTGACATCATAATTTCGCCCACCCTGCAAGCACACTGTAGGAAGAATTCCCTTTTCTCGTATGAATCTTTTTGTCATTTGCAATGCGGAGCGGTACCCAGCGCAAGCAACAGAAGTCAACAGTGCAGCACTACAGGACATGGGTACCAGTGGAGGTCAGATGGTGAGTGCTAGTGTCCTTTCCCCAGGAAAGCTTGACCAGTTTGACTCCGCTTGACCTGTGGAAGGAGGCAGATGGCTCCAGAGAGTTGACTGGCTGGCAGTGCCTCCTGTGAATCCACTCTCAGGAAACCGGGTGGTAGAGGAATACCCTCCTGCTGCACTGCTGGCACGACTGGCAAGCAAGCCATCAGCAGCACCTTCTATGGGTAACACCCGGAGGTGGTACCTGATGCCGTGCAGTGCAGATACCACCTGCCTCACGTCGGGACGGAATGAGGGGTGCTCTGCCGTGCACCAGAGCGCCACCCGCAGAAACGTGCCAAATGTATCCCCCAGCTTCGCCACCACCTTCCGTGCACTCACTTCCCCACCAGCACCTGCAGCATCACAACCAGCCCCAGCAGCATCACAACCAGCCCCAGCAGCATCACAACCAGCCCCAGCAGCAGCACAACCAGCAGTGAAACAAAACACCGTTCAATGCAGCAGCAGCAGCAGCAGCAGCAGCAGCAGCAGCAGCAGCAGCAGCAGCAGCAGCACAACCAGCAGTGAACCAAACACCGTTCAATGCAGCAGCAGCAGCAACACAACCAGCAGTGAAACAAAACACCGTTCAATACAGCAGAAGCAGCAGCAGCAGCACAACCAGCAATGAGACAAAACACCGTTCAATGCAGCAGCAGCAGAAGAAGAAGAAGAAGAAGAAGAAGAAGAAGAAGAAGAAGAAGAAGAAGAAGAAGAAGAAGAAGAAGAAGAAGAAGAAGAAGAAGAAGAAGAAGAAGAAGAAGAAGAAGAAGAAGAAGAAGAAGAAGAAGAAGAAGAAACACCGTTGCAAGGAAGCACTGTTGGCTTAGCATCCACCTGAAAATGGAGAAGCTCAGAGAGTTTGGGGTCGACAGCAGCGGAGAGGCCGTGCGGGCCGAAGGCGAGGTGCAGTACGGCCTGGCTGAGCGGCACTCCCTGAATGACGGGCGGCTGCCCCGTGGCCAGCTGCAGCAGCACTACCCCGAAGCTGAACACGTCACTGCGCTCCGTCAGCACCCCGCAAAGTGCGGGTCGATGTAGCCCTGACAGTAGGAGGGGGAAGAGGGTTGGGGGAGGAGGTTTGGGGGGGGGGTGGGGACTGCAGTCGATGATGTAGCCTCGAGGGACTGGGGGAAGCGGGGTTGGAGCAGGGGAGAGATGGGTGTTGACAGCATAGTGAGTTGACTGTGCAAAGTGTGGTTCGATGTCGACACCATCACAGAGGGGGAGGGCGGCGGAGGAGAGCAGGGGCAAGGGGTGCAAACTGGGTCCATGTGGACTATCGGGGAGGGAGAATGGGGGAGAGGATGGGGGACTACATGGGCATGTGAAAGGAGATGGATAGGGGAGACAAAACACAGACGCCGAAATAGAAGGAGCATTAACATGAAGAATGTTTTGCCGTTTGTTGTCAGCAGCAGCTTTAGCGCGGCGTACTGCGACCGCTTGCCTTAGGAAGGCGGGGAAGCTTGGGCGGCGGAAGATGTTGGAAGGTACGGCGGGAGGATGAGGGGGAGGAAGCGGGGGAGGGGGAGGAGGGGGGGAGGGCGGGTGGGGAGAGTGAGGGGGATGGGGGGGGGGGAAGCAGCCGTTGCGCATGCGTTGCCGGCGCAACGGCGGCGATAGTGGCAAATCTAGTGGCACGGAGGAGAGGCGCGGAAGAACGACGGACTCCGTCGGACGGGATGTGACGGGCGAGAGAGGGAGATGCAGAACATGCGTGCTAAAGCGGCGCATGTCCGGCGGCGACACGCACACGCGGCGATATGGAGGCGACACGGGTAGCAGCGGCAACACGTGCATCAGTCGCGGCGAGAATGGCGGTTCTGTGAATTGCTCGTCGCCGTACAACATCGTTTATGCGACGCTCGACGACGGCGGCAATGGGGACGACCCCGACGAGGTCGAGACGAGCGGGTGTCACCCGTCGTTGACGAGTCGCGAAGGGACACGTGTCAGCGTTTGATAGCTTCGAGCGTGATTCTAAAGTGAGTACGTCAACTAGGCAAGCGACACGTGCAGGCAAGCGACACGTGCAGGCATGCGAGCCGCTGGCATGTGAACCGCACTGCACCGCAATGCGCGGACTTGCATGGCAGCACGGGTGGAGATGACAGATCAACGAATCTCACGATCGTTAGAAATTAGGACTTCGTGCTGGAAGTTGTACCAGCCATCCTCGTTAGTTGTCATAAGTGTGTTTGTTCGCTTGTTTTGTGATCTTGTAGGAGCATGTGTTATATCCTCGTATACATCTATATCAAATAGTTGCTCTATGACGGCCTCATAAACAGTTACAGCGTTAAAGAGCGCCTACTATCCGAACTCCCACAGTTATCCCAACTATTGTAAGCAGAATAACTAAGGCTTCTGCATTTTATCCACGCCATGGATAACGAAAAGCTTCCCCCTGAAAAGCTTGGAACGCTTGATTTTCGCCTTCTTCTTCCCAATAAAAGGCTTCCACTTCTTAGTAAGGCGGTCCAATTGAAAAGCCTTAAACACCTTGCGACCGTTTCCGTCGGTTAACACCTTGGCCTTTTTAATACCATCCTCGTCGTAGACTCCGTTAAGCAGGTTAGCCCGAATCATCGACGCATACGAGCGAACCTTCTGGCGAGGCAGAGAAGGATTCATCAAGTCGGCGAGGGCACCAGGGGCCGCGGAAGCGATTGCGTTGTCGTCAGGTAGCAGAACGGTTTTGCCTTCGGTTGAGGCGAGGAAGTCGTCTGTTGGATTCCAATTGGTCTCTGAAGCACACGAAGAATAAAGAACGTAACCAAGGCAGCAAAGGCAAGACGAAAAACATACTAGCGGAGAGGGAGAAAAATGATAAAAAAAAGGCGTCTATCCAATCAATTCAGTATATTAGGAAAGTTAGGGCATCTTGGTACCTAGTTGAGGGATGAGAGTGTCAAGAAACATGGCGCTGGCGCGATATTGGCTGCTCAGTTCGGGGTCGTCAAGCGCGACTCGAACATTCTTCACCTCCGCGATCAGATCCTCCTTGCTGGGCCGCGCCGCCGCAGCAGGCGCCAGCAGCAATGCGAGCGTAATCCCCAAAAAATAAAGCTGTCTGGGCAAAACCATGGTGCAAGGAAACTGAGGTTGAAGAAACTGTGGTTGAAGAAACTGTGGTTGAAGAAACTGTGGTTGAAGAAACTGTGGTTGAAGAAACTGTGGTTGAAGAAACTGTGGTTCAAGATGGTGAACTGCATTGTTGAAGGGAAGAGATATCCTTGTTGCCTCTCTGCCTGGGACCGTGGAAGGTGGTGGAGTGGAGGAGACTAGAGAGCGAAAGCCGCTGGAGACTGTACGATAGATGCCACGTCCTAAGTTTGATGCTTCGTGTGCTGCTGTCAGAAGTGTTACCTGGCTCGCACGCAAAGTTTCAGGGCGCGAGCCACTGAACGAAACATGGAGCACCTCGAACTTGTTACCAAAAAGGTGCCATAACCGTGGATAGTTGTAACAGTTTCAGAGTTTTTTGAGGTAGCCCTAAACCCTGTGGCATTTGGGGAGCCACTCGACACGATTTGCCATCTCACTTCATTTCGCGCGCCGCCGACATTCACGAGCTGAGGGCGTGTGTCCTTCGGGTCGAACTTCGGCGATGGTTCACCTTTTTAAAGAGGCTCTACACGGTATATTACTTTACAAAAAGGTTTTCCCACGTTTCAAAGTGGTTAGAGTTCGAACTTTGACAATTTTGGGCCGAAGGACACACGCCCTGAGAATTTCAGTTCGACACAATCTTTTTGTGCAACAGAGCGACAGAATCAGAACCGCGCTCCCTATTTGAGTGTGAGAGAAAAAGAACAAGGGGGCTCAATATGCGACAAATTGGAAATGCAGACAACGCAGGGAGGCTGCGTGAGTTACGCGAGAGACATTCGGTTCTGCCTGCCCGCGCGCGATAGACGCGAGAGACACCAAGAATTTGTCTGAGCAACCTGCGAGATGTCTGCATGGTATCTGTTACGGGTCGCATGTCAGTCGACGCGAAGGCTCGGAGTCGTTACCCCTGCCAACGAAGTGTCAATATTCGCACAGACGCGACAGTGTCCTTAAAGCCGTGGCCCAACTATCAGCTTCAACTTCAGGGTATTATAGCTTGAAACTTGGTAGTCGCATGCAGTTCAGTGGCGAGAGGTTTGTCTTGTGCGAGTGTTACGGGTGCAATGGATCGAGGTAGCGAGGATCGCACTAAGGTGTCAAACGAGTACAAAATGTGAGCGAAGGCATGAGCGAACATTTATGCGCGAAACATGCAAACGGTAACGCAGTGCGTGCGAGCTAGCTAGTGCTATGCTGGCAGCGAGGCTCGGGTTAGTCCCGAAGCGTAGGCCGACACGGCCGGGCCAGCAGTGCGAGGTTTGGCAAAACAGTGCGCGCGAAGTTGGCGAAGCCCCGTTAGCAGTAATGGGCGAACAACGGCTGTTGCTGTACGTGATGTAGTCGGACTCCGTAAAGAATGCCGAGAAAATTCCTTACAGCAAGATTCCATTTTTTTCGTCCAATAAGGGTCCCGTTACACACACTCCATATTTGTCCTGCTACTGTTCCTTAGAAGTTGCACCCCACCTTTAACATAGTGCGCGGAAGACTAAAGGGTTTTTTAAATTATAGAATGAAGGGAAAATATGTCAATGGTAACTTACATGGGGAACTATAACGCGTACGGTAACGATTTCAACGCGTTTGGTAACTCACTTAACGCGTTTGGTAACTCGCTTAACACGTTTGGTAACTCGCTTAACGCGTATGGTAACTATACACTAGCAGCCCATCACGCGAATGGTAACTACATAAAACTCCCGCCGAAATGATAATGAAATTGAGGAATTTATCGAGTTTGAAAGCCTTTACGCATAGTTTTATCTTTCTTGAACAAGTCCCGCCGCGACTTTGAAGGACCCTGTTTAGTCTAATACCACGGACCAAGAAGTTTCAAAGTTTATATATGTGAAAGAACGAGGAATGGTTTACTAGAGGAAAGGGTTGGGTACAAGTACAAACCCTAGAAATGTGTTGTACCCCATATGTGCTACCCCACTATAGCCTACACAGGCTAAGTCATATAAGTCTGACACACCCCCATAGGCAAAGTGGGGGAGAACAAGGGGTCACAAGACCAGTCAAGCAAAGCAAAGCAAGCTCAGGGTGGATCACAACGTCACCACACATTCCGAGCACAAGTTCAAGGCCACACGGCCAGTTCACATGCAAGATCATATATAAAGGTAAACAAGCAAGTGCAGGTATAGAAAGATCACAGTACAAGCAAGGTCAAGAAGTGAGCAAGTGAGGCCAAGTAGGCACAAGACCTAGCATCGTACAGAAGCGCTGATGATCACAAGGCGGAAGTTGTCGGATTTATATGACATAGCTACTATAGGCTATAGTGGGGTAGCACATATGGGGTACAGTTTTCTAGGGTTTGCTTTTGTACCCAACTTTCCCTTAGTCAATTTTTTTCCTCGTTTCTTCTCATGGTATCGAGCATGTTCCCTAGTGGGAACGCTTCCTAGGGCCCACCACGATTTTTTTTTATTTCCTGCCCGGAGCGCGCTTCGCTCCTGCCCGAGTCGCGCCCTGTGTGCCCTCCCTACCGTCGCGCCCTCTCACGGCCCCTCACGGCCCCTTCGCGTCGCCCTTAGCGGCCCCTCTCACGGCCCCTCGCGCCACCCTTACGGCCCCTCATGCCACCCTTACGGCCCCTCGCGCCGCCCTTACGGCCCCTTACGGCCCCTCGCGCCGCCCGTCGGCCCCTCGCGCCGCCCTTGCGGCCCCTTACGGCCCCTCGCGCCGTCCCTTACGGCCCCTCGCGCGGCCCCTTACGCCCCTTACGGCCCCTCCCGCGGCCCCTCACGGCCCCCTACGGCCCGTCGCCGCCCTCCGCGGCCCCTCGCGCCGCCCTTCACGGCCCGTCGCCGCCCTCCGCGGCCCCTCGCGCCGCCCTTCACGGCCCCTTCGCCGCCCTTTGCGGCCTCTCGCGGCCCTGTCGCCGCCCCTGCCGCAGCAGCCGCCGCAGTCCCTACAGCAGCAGCCGCCGCAGTCCCTACAGCAGCGGCCGCCGCCGTCCCTGCAGCAGCAGCCGCAGCCGTCGCCAGCAGCAGCCGCCACCACCTCCCTCGGGGCCGCAGCTGCTGCCGCCGCTGACTGCACCCGCCGGTGCGCCTCGGCCCTACCGGCGCCGCTCCACCCGGCCCCGCCGCTGCTCCCTTCGCGGCCCCACCGTCACCACCGAGCCGCCGGCGCCGCCGAGCTGCTGCCGAGCTGCCCGATCCACCTGAGCCGCTGTTGCTGCCGAGCCGCCGTACCGCCGAGCCGCCCGAGCCGCCCGAGCCGCCCGAGCCGCCGAGTTGCCGAGCCGCCGAGCCGCCGAGCCACCCGAGCCGCCCTGTCCGGTAAGAGCAGCGCCTCTGTCACTGCACTGCCCTTACCCTACTGTTCGCGCTGCTAGTCTACTGCTGTCATGGCTACCCCTAGTGTCCTCACTTTTGACGCTGAGGGTCGGGCCATTGACTTTGACGTCTGGGTAGATGACCTGCAGCTTTTCCTACAGTGCGATAGGGCAGACGGTCTCTCCCTCTTTGACCTCACCTCTGGTGCCTCTCCTGCCCCTTCTGCTGATGCCGACGCCACTATTCGCTCACAGTGGGCCACTCGCGATGCTGCTGCACGTCTTGCTGTGCGTCGCCACCTGCCTACCTCTGAGCGTGCGCACTTTAGCCAGTACAAGAGTGCTCAGACCTTGTACGACGCTGTAGTTGCGCGCTACTCCTCCCCTGCCACTGCTGCACTGAGCCGCCTCGTGCTACCGTACCTCTTCCCTGACCTTGCTGCCTTTCCCACAGTCGCTGACCTCATTACGCACCTCCGCACTAGTGACACTCGCTACCGCGCTGCGCTTCCTGCTGAGTTCTGCGCCAAGAACCCCCCCCCCATGTACATCACCCTCTACTACATAGTCACCCGGCTCCCTGACTCCCTTCGCGTAGTCAGGGACCACTTCCTCTCAGTTTGCCCCACCACTCTCACCGTTGACCTCCTCGAGAAGGCCCTCCTCGCAGCAGAGAAGAGCATAGTAGCTGTAGGAGCCTCTCGTGGTGACCCTCGCACCCCCATCTTTGAGGGGTGTTCCCCCTCCCCCCTTTTGCCCTCTGTTGCCTCTGCTGCTGCGGCCGACCTCGTTGGACTTGAGTCGGTCGGTGCAGCGTCTACCCCTAGCGGGAGACGCCGCCCTGGCAAGGGCAAGGGGGGCAGGGGCACTGGAGGAACTAGCGGGGGCGGTGGAGGCGGCGGTGGAGGCGGTGGAGGGGGTGGGGGTGGCGGTGGGGGTGGTGGCGGGGGTGGAGGTGTCGGTGGCGGCAGTGGAGGCGGAGGCGGCGGCGGCGGTGGCGGTGGGAGCGGAGGTGGCGGCGGTGGAGGAGGCGGCGGCGGAGGAGGTGGAGCTGGTCGGGGTGGCGCTGCGCCGAGGGTCGGCTCCGGTGGTGGTCAGCGCCAGCAGCAGCAGCAGCAGCGCACTCGTGACATCCCCCCCCCCTCAGCAGCTCCGTGAGTGGTACGTTGCACGCCAGCGGGGTGGGGGTACTGGTCCGTGCACCTATGTCCTACGCACCGGCGACCGCGCGGGTGAGCAGTGCGGGGGTGCGCACTCCACCCAGCGCTGCTTTGGCCGCCTGACGGACGCTTGGCGTCACCAGTTCCCTGAGGCCACTGAGATCCCCCGCTGGGGTGAGCTGTCTAGGGCGGGTGTAGCTGTCTTTGACCTTGACTTTGATGCTATTCTTGCTGCCATGTATACTGTGACTATTAGTGATGAGGGTGACTGTTACCGGTGTTTTCCGCCCGACCCGGGCATTGAGACTGCTGCTCTAGGTACTGGTGAGGCTGCTGCTCTAGGTGCTAGCGAGGCTGCTGCTCTAGGTGCTCGTGCGTCTGCTCCCTCAGGTGCTGGTGAGTCTGCTCTCTCAGGTTCTGCGTCGGCTTCGGCCTCCCACACCTTCACCCTTGACTCGGGGGCTTCTCGCTCCTTCTTTCGAGACCGCACCACACTTACGCCGCTTGGCCGGCCAGTTGCAGTC